CATTCAATTCTAAAAATCAAATCTAACCACATTATTTAGTTCAGTTCAGACTAGTTCATTGTGTGAAGTTCGAAACGTGTGCGATAATTAGTTGTGATTTTATAAATTTATTAACAAAGTAATCGGACATAATTTCCGCGAATGGAGCAAATCGAGCAGCGTGCCGTCATTAAGTACCTCCATAAGAAGGGGTTATCATCAAAAGCCATTCATGATGACATGGTCAGTACATTAGGCGATTGTGCTCTGTCATATTCATCCGTCAAAAAATGGATAGCAGAATTTAAGCGTGGTAGAGAGGGTGTGAAAGATGAACCCCGCTCTGGAAGGCCTTCGACGTCAACTACTGACGATAATATTAAAAAAGTACTTGATTTAATAATGGGAGGCCGCAGATTAAAAATTAGAGAGATAGCCGAGATTATAGGCATCTCTTATGAACGAACTCAAAACATCATTGTCAACGAGTTGGGTTTCCACAAGGTGTCTGCGAGGTGGGTTCCGCGACTGCTTTCAGTTGAACAAAAAAGGACGCGATAGACTATTTCACGCGACTGATTGGAGTTACTTGAAGCCGATGCAGATGATTTTTTGAATAGTTTTGTTAATATGGACAAAACATGGGTTCATTACTGTACACCGGAAACAAAACAACAATCAAAACAGTGGAGAAGACCTGGTTCACCACCCCCTAAAAAGGCTAAGTCGATTTTGTCGGCAAATAAGGTGATGGCTTCAGTATTCTGGGACTCGAAAGGTGTGATTATGATTGTCAAAAAAAGGTCAAAGATTTTCGACAAACGACGAGGTCAAAGTAGCTGTAGACGCATATTTTGACTCTAAGGAAGAATCATTTTTTTTCAACGGTCTAAATGCTTGGAAGGGGAGGTGGCAAAAGTGTATTGAACTTGATGGTGATTATGTAGAAAAATAAAAATATAACTGATTTAGTATTTGTTTATTTTCTTGGTTAGGCCGAGTACTTTTCAATCCACCCTCGTATAAACCATTAGGTGAAGCCCTCAAATAACATTGATCTAGATGAATGAATAGACCACATTTTTCTATAATAATATTTTCTTGTTTGCTCAATTGTGCCAATGCTACAGACTCTTTGTCCCACCATGTTTGATGGAAGAGACGTGATCTAAATTATAACTATATAAAATAGTTTTAAACCGATCGATCAAAAACTGCGGTCGTAGTTGACGATGCTCTAGCACGCAGACGCACACTACGATAGTATCGAAAAGACGCAGCGCGCGAAATAAACTGACGCAGATCCAACCACGACAAGCGTTCGCGCGATAGTGATCGCAGATGGCCGGCAATATAGGGTACTTTTATTTAATTAATTAAAATATAATAGTAATGATTTAAAAAGTAAAAATAATAGTATATGTGAGGGACTGCAGTGGACTGTAAGATTTTAAATAACTAATTGTGTATGACGACTGATTCTAACTTTACTGTGTAGGGTAAACTATACTAGGGACGGTTGAAGAAAAGAAGGTACTGTGGACGATTATATATTGCACTATTTACAAGCAGCGTTAATTAATTATGTACAGATGGCAGTCTTCAATGGAGTGTTCTTTCTTGAGGTTTTCTCTCTTGAGGTCTTCTTTCTTGATATTGTATGAGTGTATGACGTAGTGCCGCTTCCGAAATGAACGACGCACAGCCCAAAACGCCCTTCTTATATTGTCAAAAAGGGGGCCTCGGCGCGTGCGTGGCATTGTGAGGTGTGCCGCGCGCTGATTGGTCGGCAGCATCACGTGATATTCGGGCGGTGTGCGGGGTGCGCGGGGCGCAACGGGGTATGAAGGAGCTACGGGGCGGCGGCTCACCTCGCCGTCCATAACAGTATAGTTTAAGCAAATGTTGATGATTATTTTGGTATAAATTTTACGTCTAAATGATGTAGAACTTCGGAAATATTGAGGCTTTTTTCGAAGCTTTTTCGGTCGTTTTTTGAATTTTCGGTCGATTTTTTTCCTAGCGTGAAAGGCATAAAACGAAAATGTATTCTATAATTATTAAATGTAGGATATTTGCGAGCTAAAAATATTTTTTTTTCTTGATGGTCGATATTCAATAGAATCTGTAAATTAGAGCTCCCAAATCTTCGAAAGCTTTTGCCTAAACATGCATCAGGACAATGATTATTACTGAATAAATAAATAAGTTATCTAAAATTCGCTTTGAGCTTATTTGAGAAGAGAAAACCAAAGACGTATTAAAAATGATAGACAGCTTACACACTAACATTATTGTACGAGGGTGGATTGAAAAGTACTCGGCCTAACCAAGAAAATAAACACATACTAAATCAGTTATATTTTTATTTTTCTACATAATCACCATCAAGTTCAATACACTTTTGCCACCTCCCCTTCCAAGCATTTAGACCGTTGAAAAAAAATGATTCTTCCTTAGAGTCAAAATATGCGTCTACAGCTGCTTTGACCTCGTCGTTTGTCGAAAATCTTTGACCTCCCAAGTGCTTTTTTAGGTTAGGGAACAGAAAGAAGTCTGATGGTGCCAGATCAGGTGAATACGGCGGATGCGGTAACAGTTCAAAGCCACAGTTGTGAATTTCAGCCATTGACTGTACTGACGTGTGAACACGGACGTTATCTTGATGAAACAGGACTTTTCTTCTGAGCATTCCTCGACGTTTTTCTTTTATTTCCTCTCGTAAACGACGTAGTAAGGTGCAGTAGTAATCAGAGTTTATATTCTGACCCCTTTCAAGATAATCAATCATAATCACACCTTTCGAGTCCCAGAATACTGAAGCCATCACCTTATTTGCCGACAAAATTGACTTAGCCTTTTTAGGGGGTGGTGAACCAGGTCTTCTCCACTGTTTTGATTGTTGTTTTGTTTCCGGTGTACAGTAATGAACCCATGTTTCGTCCATAGTAACAAAACGATTCAAAAAATTATCTGCATCGGCTTCAAATAACTCCAAACAGTCGCGTGAAATAGTCAATCGCGTCCTTTTTTGTTCAACTGAAAGCAGTCGCGGAACCCACCTCGCAGACACCTTGTGGAAACCCAACTCGTTGACAATGATGTTTTGAGTTCGTTCATAAGAGATGCCTATAATCTCGGCTATCTGTCTAATTTTTAATCTGCGGTCTCCCATTATTAAATCAAGTACTTTTTTAATATTTTCGTCAGTAGTTGACGTCGAAGGCCTTCCAGAACGGGGTTCATCTTTCACACTCTCTCTACCACGCTTAAATTCTGCTATCCATTTTTTGACGGATGAATATGACAGAGCACAATCGCCTAATGTACTGACCATGTCATCATGGATGGCTTTTGATGATTGCCCCTTCTTATGGAGGTACTTAATGACGGCACGCTGCTCGATTTGCTCCATTCGCGGAAATTATGTCCGATTACTTTGTTAATAAATTTATAAAATCACAACTAATTATCGCACACGTTTCGAACTTCACACAATGAACTAGTCTGAACTGAACTAAATAATGTGGGTAGATTTGATTTTTAGAATTGAATGGATCTGTGTTAGGCCGAGTACTTTTCAATCCACCCTCGTATTTTAAAGTGGCGCAGGTAGTACTATATCTACGTACAGTTATTTATTATGACACGTTGCGCTAACAAAAAGGGACAAATGATACGGCATACCTATCGTTAGAAAAAGATGAATATACATCATTAGTTGCGTATTGATTGCTGCTGAGCGCTCATTGGCGCGAACGCGTGACATACCGATATGGAAATGAACACATGAACACACTAGCTAGCGTCAAAGTTTACTAGCGGTTATTGTTGAAATAATAAAACCAATTATGAACAAAACATCTATATTCAAAATATTAATGAGACGTTTTTCTTGTCTCTTAACAGTTTTCGTGTAATTTGTACACCACCTAAAAACACAGGAAGGCATTTTTATCACGAATAACTAGAAGCTTTACGCGCTGTAGCGAAGGTATAGCCGCGACGTGAGAGCGTGCCCGACTGAATGCGTGTCGGGCAATTACCTGACTTTCGAATTGCCATTTTAGAGCGAGTATGACGTATCTATACTTTAAAAACATCGTAGGAGAAAACGAACTATTTTTACCAAGTAATTTTTATTTCAAGTAACGAACGATAAACATACAATTTCAACGAGGAACCCTTGTAATTTCGCGTTTTTTAGTAATACGCCTCGCTGTAAATTACGCCAAAGTTACGTAGAATAGATGGTCAGTGATTGATTACGTTTGTTGAACAATGGAAATACCAGTACCTAAAGAAAAAAAGTTACTCACAGAACTATAGAAAAGAGTGGGAAGGAAATCCAGACTTCAAAATATGGTTGGCACCGGTTCAAGGTACTGATTTAAAAGGTATGTTTTGCTGGTGTCAAGCTGAATTTTTTGGCCAAAATCAGTGGTATAAAAAACACTCGGAGTCTAAAAAACACAAATCAAAAGCGGAAATAATAACGACATGAAAGACCTTGCCACCGTTACTGCCACATGATAAAATAAAGCCTAAAAACTGTGGCGAACAGTGTTCGCCGAACACTGTTCCGTGGTGACAGTAAAGCATTTAGCGACATCTAGCGACTTTTCAAGCGTACGTTAACGACTTTTTGACATGTAGAGTTGGCAACACTGCTAATCCTTAAAAATGTACAATTTTACAAGTCATTTGTTATCGTTTAAATACTAAATATATTAAAATTAAATAATAATTATAATTAATAATCTTCATTTAAAATGTACTAAGTATAATAATCTTCATTTAAAATGAACGCAACTTGTTTGCCTTCGTCAGAAAAGGGTCTTGAAAAAAAAGGACAATTATAAAAAAATTGGCGCCATCAGCAACGCTTGTCATTGTCATTTTACCGGAAACTTCGTTTGCTTTGCCACCCCTTTCTAAAGACGCGCTATTACGAGCGTCGTTTTTTCAGCTGAAATTAAGTGATTCCTCATTTAAACAATACTTAAATAAGTTTGTTAAAAATGGCAACAAGATCAGCAAAAGGAAAGGTAAGCAAAGCAACATTTACTTCAAATATCTCATAATCCATAATCGTAACATAGCCGGTACATATTTGTAGTACATACTGTTTTTGAGTGATACATTTGAATATTGAAAAAAGAAATTTAAGATTAATTAGTATTTTTATACAGTATGGAAATACGTCCACATAATTGGTAAATTAAGTTAATATTGGTTAATAATATTATAAATGGCTCGCTCTAGCCTCGTGCTCGACCCAAAGTTACAGGAATAAATATACCTATAATAAAGATATATTCATGTAATATGGCGTGGCGCATGCAACCTAAGGCAACAATATTATATTTTTATAAAGATTATTTGTTATGCGCATTACTTATATACGTTAAAAACAATGTAAGAGAGGAGTCGCAAAACTTGTATTTAAATGTCAAACGACGCTAGCTGAATACAAAGATCACTTCGACTTGTAACTGTTCGCGTTTCTCTAGTTGAAATTGTAATAATAAAATTGAAAATTAGTATATCATTTACCATTTTTTTAATACAAATAATTGCATTGTCAAAAATATTCAGCTTAATAAAAAGAGAAATTCCTACAAGTGCTGTACATTTACAAGTATAACAATCTTACAAAAGTTATTTTTGAGTCATTATGCTTCTTATATGACTTCACTTCAAATTAAAAAAGAATATGTTTGCATGGAACATAGAAAATAGTTTTAACATTTTAAATTATTAGTATTTGTACAAATATAAATATGGGTTGCTTTGATTTCATATATTTTTCCATATCTGTCATATTTACTGTGATGATTAGAATTATATACTCAGGTAAATGATTTGTGTCCAATAAAATTATTTCGTGAAATATAACTTAACAATGGTTATTTCGTTGTTTTATGTTTGAAATTTTACTTTCAGAAAGCTGCAGATGTGAAGGTTACTGAAAATGTACCAGCAAAAAAAGGTCGTAAAGGTAAACAAGCTACAGAACCAGAAACACCTGAAATGGAAGTTGATGAAAAAACTGCAGTACCAGAAAAAAAGTCAAAACGTGGCAAGAAAATGGAAAGTGAAGAAAAACAGTTGAATGGCACAAAAGAAGAAGTGGGTCCTCCAGCAAAAAAGAGTAGAAAGAAGAATGTAGAAGAACCCACACATGAAGAGCAATCTAATGGTGACAATTCAGCTGCTGAAGAGGAACCCACTCCAGCTGATGAAGTTGAACAGGATGATGATCAAACAGAAACTAATGGACATACAGAGGAACCACAGGGGTCTTCAGTAGGCAAGGGACGTAAAAAACAAACGAAAAAAGATGCAGCTGCAGAAAAATCTAGTGGATTAGAAATTAAAACTAGGGAAACTGGGAGGGGAAGAAAAAACACTAAGCAGGATAGTGAAGAGAGTGATACAGTCAAAAAACCAGATATTGTTGAAGATAAATCAAAACCTGGTAGAGGAAGAGGGAAAAAAGCACAGGCAAAGGCCAGTAATGATTTGGAAGTTGAAGAAAAAGTTGAAGATCCAGATGAGGCAAAACCAGAACCATCTGCAACTAAAGGGAGAAAGAAACAGACTAAAGCAAACAAAGAAAAAACACCAGATGTAGATAAGGAAGTATCTGAAAATCAAGAACAGAAAGAAGAAGAAGTAGAAGACAAGGTTGAAGAAGAACCCAAAAAGAAAGAAACTAAAAGTCGAAAAAATCAGGGTAAAAAGGTTTCACCTAAGGAAGACCCTGAGGAGAAAGATGAAGAAATAAAAGAAGAATCACAGCCTGCCAAAAAACGTAAAGGTGCTAAGAAGGAGGAAAAGAGTAAAGGTATGTTGACAAATAAAAATTAGTTTAAGGGCACTATTACATTAAAATAATATTTATATGGTCATAGATACATGATAAAAAAGGCAAGAAAACTATATAAATTTTAATTTGTACATATATTATGAGTCATATAATACACATGTAAGATGTTTTAATGCATTCTTCATAAAGTACTACTTTTAGTCAATCAATAAAGTAATTATTACAAATATAATGTAAACTCTTCATTAAAGAACATCAGGGGTTAGATAGTGTGTAAAGGTTAGATAGTTTCAGTTGGAGCAACTTGCAGTAACAGTTTGTGATAAAACACAGTAAAAGTGGTCAGTGTGATGAAATGGTAGTTTTTCTTTTATGGTGCTAGCCGTTGAAACAAAGAATGTATCTTCAAGCAAGAGTAAATAGGATTTTGTTATGCTAAGACTGTACAATTTACTATTTAGGGCTTCATCACCGCTTACTATCAGGTGGGGTTGTATTCAGGCACTGACTTAGAATAGGTAAAAAAGAAGAAAAAACATCTGATCTCATGGTACCTCATAATTAATTTTTATAGTATCCATATAAAAAAGTGTGTATAATATATATAGTAACATAATTCCACCATTACAAATGCTTTAATGTTGGAACATAAACACATTCTATTCTTTATCTGAGAGTCATTACAAATTGTCCTGCATGTAGACTTCCAGTCCTCCAAACAAGTTGATTTATGAAAACCAAAAATTCACTGCTGCCTGTCCGAAGAACAACAAAAGTTGTCAGCATAGCTTATAAACAAGTCTTTCATACACCTACAATCTGTGTACTATTAGCAAAAGTTTAACAACACTAATTGACTGCCTCTGATCTAAGGGTCATATGCCGGACTGATGATTTTGGGTTTGAATTCTGGGTCGACAGTCAGATTCTGGGTAACAGCCTGAATTGGGAGTTGGCGGTGACTTACCTCCATGCTTTGACTTTTAATTCAGCTCCAATCTTTCTCTGATCTTATTGGATTATATATATTATCTGATTATATATATTATCTATTATATATTACTGGTAGTGTACGACCGAAACAGGATTTTCAACCGAAACCGAAAACGAACCTTTGGTCGGGGTGCCAGTATCGGCCGAAACCAAAACCGAAACCGAAAGTTATTTAGACGTTAATTTTTTTAATGTATACTGAAATCTGGTATATTTTTTATACATATACAGTTAGGTAATGCATGTTAATCAAAAGCGGTAACTGTAATAGTCATTTATATTTTATTATTAACTTAGTATTTACCTAATATATTATCACACTTACACACAAAATATGTGTGTATTTTGTGTTTAAGTGTGTGACTTAACAAAATCCCAGAAAATATAAAACCTGCTCAAAATTCAAAAAATTTAATAAACTAAGTTTTTATAAAAAGGGTTATTATAATATTAAGGAATTTATGGATGATAAAAACCCCTGGGAATGAGGTGATCACTACCAAGCTATTTCTAATTTGCTTTGTGTTGTTAATTGTGTTACATACATGATTGTAAGAGTGGCGTAGCTAGGCATGGGTGAAGTGGGCCCTCGCCCACGGCCTCGCACTTAAAGGGGCCTCGTGAGGCCCCCTTAAATGCGAAGCCCGCAGACTTTACCACAGATGATTAATTAATTTGATCACTTTTACGCTCGAAAAAGAAAGTTACAAATTTAAGTGTGTTTGTTTGTAGCCTCGCAAGAAGTCCCTCTGAAATGCGACTAAGAGGCCGTTGTAACTACCTTCAAAGACCGCGATTGTTTCATTGACGAAATACGAGACTTGTCAGGAATTAATAGATATGAGTAGGTATGTCGTGTCAAAGCATGTTTGGTAGGATAGATCAATTGGGTAGATCCTTGAAACAAAAGAAAAGGGACCTCGCTGATGCAACTTTGCCCACGTTTATATTAGTCCACGCTACGCCTCTGATTGTAAGCTATTATTTAAAAAAAGTCCCGCTGGGTTTCTTGCTGGTTCTTCCAAGGACAAAGATTTTTTTTTTGAACCAGTGGTAATTAACCAAAAGAGTGACTTTCAATAAGTACAATTTACAATTTATATTGAATAAAAAAAGTTTCTGTATAATTGTGAATATTACACGAGTCACGAATTCATTCAAACGACGCACGATAATCCACGAGCACTGAGTTTCGGCGCTGCCGAAGGTTCGGCAGATTTTTTGCCGAAACCGAAATTATTACCGAAACTAGATTTTTTTGCCGAAACCGAAAACGAATCTTTGGTCGGTCACTGATTGTCGTCCCATCGAATTATGAAAGTAAGAGTATAGAGTTTGATACTTATTTGATTGATTGACAATAACACTGGGACACAATGACAGTCGTATTGAAATGAATTATAGATATGTGGCAATTGTAAACAATAAACAGGCCGCAAGCTCGCAATGACTGGGCTAAATAGAAAATAATTTCAAAACTACTGTCCAATTAGTAGGATGTTTTTGAAAAGGTTTTTTTTACTTTCTCAAGGCCCCTATACTTTGGGTACCCTAGAGCCCCTGTATGGCCCTATCTAGGGTTTATAAGAACAATCACACAAATGATTGGTTTTAGTAGAATTCTGGGAGAATATAGCTGCATGAAAAGCACATCTTATTCTGTATATTATATTCAAAAAGCCTTGGTAATGTTACAAAATAGATGATGGACAACCCAACTAGAATTTTTTGCTGTACAAAAAAAAAATTGTTAATGTTATATAGAATGTGATTCCAAACTGTTGATGGCGTGAACCTGCATAAATAATTACACATTATAATTTCTAAAATTGTAAAAAGAAACTTTGTAATAAGATATTTTCCTGCCAATTAGGCAATTATGATAAAATCAGAAGAGAGAGAAGAGAATAGAGTTAAAGAGAAAAATCTGTTTGTCTAATAAGTGTAGCGTATAGGAAAAATTTTATATGTAGTAATGGTAGAGACTGATTGATGCTCTACCCTAGTCTTATACTTTATTGTAGGGCTAAAGTAGATAGTGTTCTGGTTCTGTGAAGCGTACAGTGTTACGGAGAAACAATTAGATCATCAGTAAACAAGAGCAGACGCGCTGCCCTGTTTGTTACAAGCTGCCGAGCTCCGAATTTAGACGCTCGCTTCTAGTTTCTTACGTCATGATTTTAACAGGTCAAAATGATTTCTTCATTTCAGTTTATAATACCAAAAGAGAACAGGAAAAATTATTTTTACCGTGCAGAATAAAATGTTTGTTTACTGTCCTACTATGAATTCGAATCATAATGCAACCATAAAAACAAAAATATTAATTATTTTATAGGAGATTCCAAAGATGAGGAAGAAGAAGAAACAGAATTAGAAGAAAAAGCTCCTGAAGCAAAACCTACCAAAGGCAAAAGGGGTCAAAAGAATGCTCCGACAAAACCAATTGAGACTGAAGAGGAAGTACAAGACACGGGCGAACTAACCAACAAACGTCGGCGCAAGCCCGCCGAGGAAAAGGGTAACTAATTTGTTAATTAAAGTTTCGACCTCTGGATAATTGTTTCGTATTATGATTATGTGTGTTTTATTTTATGATAAATAAACGGTTTTTAAATAGCTTCGCTGGATTTATTTTATTCCATAACTTTCCTACATAATACATTGCATGCGCATAACATTTTTTAACTTCAAAACAGTGAACGGTGATGTAAATGGTGATACTAATAGACATATTATATAATTTTCATTACTAACCAGTGAAGGTAATACAAAAGCTCACCTAACAAGATTATCATTATTTTTTTTATATTGAATTTGTTTTAAAGTGAGAACAGATATTGAAGCATTATCTTAAGTGGAATTGAAAGTACTTGTTAATCTTCTAAAGGTTTTATCTATTACTCTATATAGTGTTCAGAGTTTGTTGGCTCTTTAACAATCTGGTTTATTTGAGTAATAATACATCTGTTTTCACTTACCTAGACATTGTCCTTATCAATTTTTATAAATATATTTAATTTTATTGTGAAAAGTATGTATGTATGAAGAATACGTAATATTAAATACAAATAAATTGCTAATATTGGAACACATTTTAATAAGTCTAAAGCACATTTGGATCGAAGGATTTGGGTGCATTTATAATTGTCATAGACTGCTATTTGCCATATGCAATATATCTGGAAATTTAGGGTCCAGATTTGTTTTGCATGCATATGCTAGCTACATTGGAATTATGAATACATTAAAACAATAAACTGTAATTGCTACAGAAAAGAAAATTAACATGCTTCTTTGTAAGCATAAGCATTTCTAGAACTTTGGCAAAGAATATAAGTCAACTACATTTTCAGCTGCTGATGATGAAGGCAAAAAGAAAGCACCACTTAAGAATAAATGTTCCACTAACTACGAAGAAATTGATTTCTCTAATGCAGCAAAAACAACACAAGGAAAAGAGTGGAATTTCAAAATAGCCAGCTGGAATGTAGACGGCATAAGAGCGTGGTTAGGTAAAGGGGGCTTAGATTATTTGAAATACGAAAAACCAGATATTCTTTGTCTGCAAGAGATTAAGTGCGCCAAAGAGAAGTTGCCGCAAGAAGTTACAAATGTGCCGGGATACCACGCGTATTGGTTGTGTAGTGATCAAGATGGCTACGCTGGCGTAGGAATATACACTACTAAACTGGCAATGAATGTTCAGTATGGCTTGCAAAACGAAGAACTTGACAGTGAAGGTCGCATCATAACTGCCGAATACGAGCAGTTCTATTTAGTATGCACATATGTTCCTAACGCTGGTCGTAAATTAATAACCCTACCTAAAAGACTGAAATGGAATGAAGAATTCAGAAAATATGTCAAGTCACTTGATATGAAAAAACCTGTTATTATTTGCGGTGACATGAATGTTTCCCATAATGAAATAGGTAAGTGTTTTTCCCCTAGTAGTCGATATGCAAAACCTTGATAATGAAGAAAATTAATTCACACTTGATAACTGCTTCAATTTATTATACTCTAGTTTCTTTTCAATGTTTGACATAGGTATAATACTGCGTTGGCGATTAGCATAAAACAATTTACACTTACATACAAGTGAATCAGGCATAGAAAACGAACCCGTACCTAAACGCTTTGTTTTGTACCTGCGCTATCGAATCAAATATATCTGGAATTTTGAAAACAAAACTAGATAGTGAGAGCTAATAGATCGGTGACCGTAAAAAGCGTATGATATGCGGGATATGTGATGAAAATAGTAGTATATATATCGTCATCATCACTACAGTCTATCGAAAGTTCATTGCTGAACATACAAAACACCTCGCCCATAGATTGCTATAAAGAAATTATGGTTTAAAGGTGATTTTCTGAAATTTCAATTTTAATTAGGTGTTCACCTGCGGCTAATATTGGTCTGCTCCCTACTAGATCAAGTGACAACTTAAAGTAACATTGCAATTTAGAATAAAGCAATGAAGGTGCTGATGTATATAATTATGTGTGATAATATACAGGGTGATTGGAAGATGGGTGCAAAGCTGTAAGGGGAAGTTAGTCTAGACCATTTTGAACCATTTGTCCATAGTTATGTTAGACGTTAAGTCCAAATATTTTTTACAACGATTTTTTGTTTTTGGTGATAAAACCCCTAATTTTGCCGTTAATTGCTAATAATTGCCAGTTATATTGATATTTTTTTTAATTAAAGAATGTGTAAACAATCTAACAAAACATGGCCTAAGCTGTGTATTTGGCCATATCTGTGTATTCTGACATTTTTTGTAGACGAAAGAAGCTCTAATAATTAAAAAAAATTAGACGCTAAGTACGGATGGTGGTATTTTTGTTCAGACCTTTTTGAAAACATGCTTGGTTTCTACTCTTTCATTTGAGGTGAGGAGGTATCATTTACGCGGATGTCACAAGTTATTAAGATTAGGAAACCAGGTTGAGGGATAAATTTTTCATTTTTATGCATTCTAATAAAACAACATTTTAATTCAAATTATTTATTGATTGATGCTCAAAATGATTGCCACGATTCCTAACACAAGTACGGGTCCGATGTCTCACTTCTGTTGTAGTTACTCCAACTTCATTGTTTCAAACTCAGAATTAATTATTTATTATAATTTTTTTTCGTGTTTATTTTTACGCTAGTTTTAAACTAGGTCCTTGGCTCGGCCCCACACGAAAAAATCCAACGAGGTCAGGTTTGGTGACCGATCGAGCCAGGGGATGGGCCTATCTCTACCGATCCAGCTGTTTGGGAAGCAAGCGTTTAAGTGTTCCCTTACAATTAACGTCCAATGCGCTGGACAGCCGTCTTGCTATAAGATCAATTCTCGTTCTGTGTTAAAAATCGGAACACCGAATTCCTCCACAAGCACTGGAAGACTAGTAGATATGTACTCCAAATAATTTTTCGCATTTAAAGTATCTGGTAAGAAGTGGTGGTGTCCAATCAACATTCTAACAATTACTCCAGCCCACATTCACAGAGAATTTCCTTTGCGCTGACACTTGTTTCTCCCAGTGTGGATTGCTGCCTTTTTCAACCCATTGGTAGAGGTTGTGAAAATTTGTTATCCCTTCTCAAGAAAATTTGCTTTCGTCTGTCCACAAAATAGATTTCAAAAACCATCCATTTTCAATGTCTCTGTTGAGAAGGAAACGGCAGAATTGAATACTACTGTGGGGATCTTGCTCTTCCAGATCTTGCACACCCGTGCCATAAAACATATTTATCACTATGGTTGTATGGCTCCACACCTTCCATTGAGAAATGTTGTTGATGTTTCTAGCTACTGCTCTTGTGCTGGTATGAGGATCCACTGGGAATGCTGCCAAAGTGTTTTCCTCGGCGGTATGGCCCAACTTCAGCAAGCCGACGAAATGAGTTGTAAAAGACTGACATTCGGTACCTTGCGATTCGGATAGCGCTCTTGATACGTTCGTCGAGCCAAATAACTATTGCCATCTGCTCTGCCATACATAAAGATGATATCCGCATATTTCTCATTGGAAAAAGTAGCCATAGTCACTTCACAATTCATAAACAGCGTAGGAGCACACTAAATGTCAACATATGTGGTAGAGCCATGCTGCAGCTATATTAGTAATATAGTTGTAGCACGAATGGGTTGGCTCGACCGGGGAAAGACCACGCTCTCACAGAATACCAGCGTCAAACAGCAGCTTAACACTGCTGTGTTTCGTATGGTGAGTGTAGAGAACCCTTTTTACTGGAAAAGAGGCATTCCATCTTAGTCCTCACGGGTGATAAGGCATCTGCATTTTGATTCGCAAACGAGGATAGATGTAGATGTCTATGGACCACAGCAACCACTTACCACCAGGTGGACTGTGTGCTTGTTTGTCACCCTACCCTATAAAAATAAAAAAAGAATAGATAACACAATCACAATAGTTAGGAATCAACACGTTGCAGAAGCGCAAAGCTAGTGCAATGGATATGACTGAACACGGTGATACAAAACTATCCAATACAAAAGATATCAACACATGCAGGAGCACTAAGGGTTACAACTGGACACGGTTAATTGCGAATCAGCGCGAATACGAAAACAACGTCAAGTCACAAGGGCACTTACGAATTAAAATGCAGATGCGTTGTCACCCGTGAGGACTAAGATTAAATGCCTCTTTTTCCAGTAAAAATAGTCTCCGGTTCTCTACACTCACCATACGAAACACAACAGTGTTAAGCTGCTATTTCACGCTAGTATTCTGTGAGAGCGTGGTCCTTCCCCGGTTCAGCCGACCTATTCGTTGCTACAATTATACCACTAATATAGCTGCAGCATGGCTCCACCACGTATGGCATGTTTATACCATGTTCTGTTAGACTGCTTCCTTACACATTTATTTAATTTAAAAAAAAACACATCAATAAAAATGGCAATTATTAGCAATTACTGTAAAATTTTAGGTTTTTTCAGCAAAACAAAAAAAATCGATAAAAAAACAATTGGACTTCATCTAACATAGCTATGGCTTTAATGATTCTAAATGGTCCAAACTATCTTACCCTTACAGCTTTGCACCCATCTTCCAATCAGCCTGTATAAAATGAAGTTGAATATTTTGGTTTAAAAAAAATGCGTTATTAAATTTTTATTGTGGTATTGTTTGACAACCTTAATAACTATATTTTTATGAAAGTTATATTACCAAATCAAATTAAATTTTAGATCTAGCCAACCCTAAAACAAATAAAAAAAATGCTGGCTTTACGGAAGAGGAACGTGCGGGCATGACAGAATTGCTCAACGAGGGCTTCGTTGACACATATCGACAATTGTATCCGCAAAAAGCGAATGCTTACACATTCTGGACTTACATGATGAATTCCCGAGCCAAAAACGTTGGATGGTAAGTTTTGAATAAAATCAATAATTTACTTTACACCATCTCGAAAGTTCACTGCTTAACATAGCCCTCTTCCATTTGGGTCCTCATGGGACGGATATTTGCCATAGTTGCTACACTTGTCATCCGGGCCGGCAACCACGGTTTATTGAAGTGAAAACTTCTTTTGGCAGTTTTGAGATCGGGAAAAAGCACTGAACTCGCGTGATCGTCACGCTAAGAGAATACAAAAGAACTATATATATTAGGAAGATGCTGCTGCCCATCTGATTTGTGTCTCTGTTTTAGCACCCACGGGCGATAAGGGGTAGTGGATATTCTTAAATCACCATTACACGGTCAATTTATCAAATTTAAATTTAATAGACTGAATATTAAAGTACAATTTTTTTTTTCAGGCGTTTAGACTACTTTATCATGTCACAAAGATTACTCCCATCGCTTTGTGACAGTGTTATCAGAAACGAAGTATATGGTAGCGACCACTGTCCTATTGCAATATTCCTTCGCTTAAGTAGTGCTGATAAACCTAAAGAATAAATTTTTATACATATTTGAACTGCTCATATTGAGATCGACAATTTTTTTTGGTAATTTTTACGGAATGAAAACATACACATTAGTAATAACAGTATTTTATTATTTTCATACGAAGATTAATTCACAAAACAAGAATTTTTGATGGAAGTTTTTTTTTAATTTTAGTGTATTATAAAGCATTCAACTTTTCGTCATTATACCAAGGCACTTATGTTATAAATTATGATGCTGCTCTTACTTCTTAGTTTTATTTGTTTCATATAGACAATTAAAATATAGACATATCTGAACCTTTTCGCCGATGTTTTAAGTGGACCTGAAACAAAAATATACACATAAGAAATGGTACTTAATATTAAGTTGATAAGAAGTTAATTTTATGAATTACATTAGATCTAGAAAACTCAAAATAAAGATAAATAAGTTCTCTGGCCTTTTCATGTAAATTCACTCTAAATAAAACTCCTGATACACAAATATGTATGTGGTCGATAACAGAATGCAGGACATATTCTAGCATGACGTAATTTGAAAAATTGCCATGGCATATATTATAGTGTTTTATATCAATACTTTTGGTAAAGTTTTCACATCATCAGTGATGTTTTAACTTTCTAAAAGCTATCCTAGTAAGCCATCGGCATAGGTGGTCAACACATGAATTCTGACACTATTAATAATAACTTTACTATAGGGACCAATGTATTCTTAAGTTACGAAATTCCTCTTTTTACATAACATTCTACTACCCTTTGGCAACAAGACTGCAAATAAATGAAAAATAATTTAAAATCAAAAATTTTGTACAGCCGACTTCAATATAAGTTATTAAGAATAACTCAAAAACTGTTGGTCTGACCTTGATGAAATTCATATGGGACCACACGAGAGGTACCAGATTTCAAATAAAAAAAGAATCATCCAAATCGGTTCACCCAGTAAAAAGTTATGAGGTAACACATAAAAAAAACATACGGTCGAATTGAGTACAGGCACCTTTTTGGAAGGCAACAGAAAAAAAGTTTAGTACAGGTGCATTGTCACCTCTGAATTTAAAGAAATGCCTCAGATTGTAATAAAAATGTTCCATGTTGATTTCGGATTTATAGGTCCCATGTTTATATGGGTCTTATAACAAAAAACAATGTGCCATCTGAGTTACTCGTCTAACATGTAAAAGGCGACTTATGGGATATTGGGTTTGTGATTATATAGGCGATTGACTATCACTTCTTTCACAACTTTTCAATACCCATATTTTGACTAAACATAGAGTAGTAGCTCACTGCTCTATGGACTCTGCCTACCCCTTCCGACATTATTATTACATTATTATAATAGAAAGATGTTTAAATTTGTAACACTCCGCAAACCTTCATGTGGTTGCCTAATACCAGAGGTTTGTATTAACAATAAAATAAATTATCCTTAAAACTGTGTCCACTAGACGTGATGGATAACCAGCCATATCGTGCAAGACTTCTGTATCCAAGTTGTCTCCAGTTCACACTGTATTGATTCTTCTTGCGAGACTCGAATAGTACCAATGGAGTCCTGGAAGCTTGCCATCGTGCAGCTTGTACCCAAAAAAAGTAGTTAGACTAATTCTGACCATTGTCGGCCTATATTAATAACTTTAATACTCTGTTAGGCTATGAAGTGTTATACTGAATTTGCACCTCATGACCTAAAGGGCAATGATCTCCTAAGTGACGAACAGTATAGATTTCGCTGATATTTCATTTAGGGGAACCTTTTTGGCTAAAACTCATGGAACGATTTACTCGCGCCCGCAACGGTAGCGGGAGTGCGACATGTGTACAATATAAGAAATGTAAGTATAAGACTACAGTATATTCACGACGAAATTTATGTCCGCGGCACGTGGGTTGTTTACGGCTCGCGTGCATCGACGGTAAGTGCGAACCGCGCAAGCCGCGATGATGAGCTTGTGAATCATTGCAGTCCGTATCTAACTCGAGCGATGGAAATTACCTAATATAGATAAATATCATGAATACACAAACGTTTCACAGCTAAACGTGATACCCATATTTTTCAAAATGTATTTTGGAACAGTGACCGCTTTCATGTCGAGATCTCAACAAACCATATCTTGAAGCAGTTCAGCCTAAGGCGCAGCAGCTGAAAGGAGACTGCGATCCCTTGTGCAAAGTGCGAAATAGCTTCATCCCAGTACACTTTCTCATCCCAATACAAAGCACAAGACACGTTGGCTGTGCAGTACTGTTATCACATAATATGGGCTGGTGCTGCTAACAACTAGCAGATAATGATATCTCTACAAATATTTCCTTTGATACACATACCAAAAGGAATATTAGCGCTGCGCAAATGTAGACGCTTGTGTCTGGTGTGGGATACAAGCTACCAGTGAATATTTTATTTTCATGTAATCAATTTGAAATCAGCCATTCCTTGCGCAGACGTAGACACTTTGTGTCCAGTTGCTTCCACTTGACACACATACCGACAGCCAATCAAAAAGTGTTCGGTGTAGGTAACATGTCGTCAGTTGAAAACACAAGCAACACAAAACAAATTTCCTTACAATTGTACGGCGCTGAAATTGACGTGGTTGATTTTCCTGTAAATATTTACGGCGGCGACGTCTTCGTCAACGTGTAATCAACACAAGCAAAGGTAATGTTATTTCATCGACACCCACTGACGGAAAACAAGCAATGAATTGTTACCAGTGTCCAGAAGTAGCTACCGGCGACTGTGTCTGATTGCCGCTATCGGACACAGCAACTACGGTTTCCTGTGATGGTGTGCCGTGTCGGTAACAAAAAGTGTTCACGATTGCGCAGCGCCTTAGTGAACGAGCAAAGTCATTAGGCAGCAGTTCTCTTTTGGAGAATGTGCGCAGGAACTAAAAGATTTAATTTCTCCAACCCCTTAGTATTTCGGACAACAGGGCGCATGGCGTATTTCCATCCTTTAGTTGTGGAAATACTAAGCATTTGGACGAATCGATATGATTGAAATGTTTGCCTGCATCTGACTTCCCATACTAATACAATGTGCATGTCTTTGAGAGAAAGAGTGAATAAGGTTTAAACTACTATAAATTACCATTCCAGCTCTGCTTCACCACTTCCATCAGATGGCATTATAGTGAAGCACGATATTTATAATTTAACGAACTGTTTTATTATTGGTTTATTCTTATCCGATAAATATCAATTGATTTAAACTTCCAAGATCATTCACTTTTTTTAAACGAAGAAATCGTAAATGAGGGCTAATAGTTTTCTGCTCACCAGATGTCGCTAGTTGACACTGAGGTAAAGTTTTTAATAAAAGTTTATCAGTTTCTAGAGTTTAATTTTTTGAACATTTTAAACTCTTTTTATTTTTTCTACTTTTATAAATATCTGTGGTTTGGTTCATTTATTTTTAATCTTATTAATATAAAATGTAGCTAATGGTACAGAAAGAAATATTAACTTTTACACTTTTCGAACAAATTAACTTCCCCACTATGAAATCTGTCAAATATTATACCTCACTTTTAAGTGGCGCCGCCCTGGTGGCAGAAAAAGTCGTAGATGCCCTCATACAGGTGTACAGGTCTTAATAATATTATTAAAAAAATATTTTTCCTAGTGAAAATTCAGCATTCATACACTTAGGAGGTATTGGCACTCAACAATAACAAGCTAAAGGAGACAACTAGAACGTAAAATCTGTTTACCATCGGCGCATATATAGATTAAAATATCGAATTGAAAAACTCCTCTTTAGAAGTCCTCTCCTTTTTTTAAGTAGATTATGTTTGTACATAATCATCTTTAATGCTAACAAATAATGATTTTTAAATCCTGGTTATATACGAGGGCGACACTGAAAGTTTTTAGAACTGGCCACTTGTAAACCATATAATAAAAAATAAGTTCAAATTTTGAAAATGGAACTCTGCCAATATTATTGTGTATGTATTTTATTAATTTATCATTTGTTTACGATTTGGCGGCAAATTGAAAACTGTCACGTCTCTATAAATTTAACGTGAGAAAATTTTCGTACAATGATTTTTTATGACTTTCCATGTCATTTAAGTCAACAAGAAAGTTATGATGGATTTCGATTGGCCTTTCACGATGAAGCCCCATCTCGTGCCACTGTTTACAACTGGTTTAATGACTTTAAATGTAGTCGCAATAATCTCACCGATGATCTGCTTGAGGAACGGCCTTCTACGGCAACGATTGAAGATAACATTAGTGTTGTGCGGCGTGTGATAGAGACTGACAAAAGAGTACCTTATCAGCAGATTCAACATTTCAGATTGAACATTTAGCGGTCAGGAAGCTTTATGCCCGGTGGATACCTCATAATTTGATTGAAATTGGTGTCCTAAAATGGTTCAAAGATTTAAGGAAGGTGACTCAAATGCTGTGTTCGACATACTTACGGCTGACGAAAGCTGGATTTATTGTTATGATCCTGAAACTAAGAGACAGTCTGCTGTCTGGGTGTTTCCTTCCGAGTTGCCAACTAAAGTGAAGAAAGGTCTAAGCATGGGAAAAAAGATGGTGGCCTCGTTCTTCGGAAGGACAGGTCATTACGTAACAATTGTTTTAGAGGATCGAAAAACAGTTACTGTAGAGTCGTACACAGTGGCGTAGCGTGCCTTAGATGGGCCCTGTAACAAAATTTGTTTTGGGGCCCCAGTGAAGAGCAAAGATTACATAACAGGAACAAAGACGCTTGCATTGTATTAAAATAATTATATATTGATTATAAGTTATTACTTACAATTAACAGTGGTAGAGCCACGTTGTCGCACAGATGGGTCGGCTCGAACAGGGGTGGTACAACGAGCTCACAGAATACCAGCGTGAAGTAGAGGTTTACATCTGCGTTGCGCTTAGTGAGTGCAGGTGGCCGGAGGCCCAATTTAACCGAGACTCAGGTGCTCTTTTTAACCGAGACTCAGGTGTCCTCTCGGGCTGATGCTTCATATCTCTCCTACTCGGGGTACAAATTAGAACACTCCTTTGTGCCTTGGGCTGGGGCTTGCGTATACATCAGAGAGAACATCTGTTTTCGACGCCTCGGCAGTCTTGAAGATACGGACCTGTCCATCCTATGGCTGCGCGTAGACAGCGACGACCTCTCTACGGGTGCCTCTATAGTTCCCATAGCGGTAATGCCGACACAGACTGACTCATCGACCACGTCCAAATGGCTGCAGATTCCGTGCTACAACAGGTACCATCCGCAGAGATCGTGATACTCGGTGATTTTAACGCCCACCACGCTGAATGGCTTGGTTCCCGTTTAACCAATCATGCGGGTAGATCTGTCTATGACTTTGCCTTGGCATATGGTCTAACACAACTGGTTACTTCGCCTACGTGGATCTCAGATGTGGAGGATCATGTACCTTCCCTGTTGGACCTTCTACTGACCTCTCATCCGGACGGATATCAGGTCTCCGTCGATGCCCCTCTGGGCTCTTCGGACCATTGTCTGATCCGGAGTACGGTGCCACTCACGCTCCCATCACAGTTGCGATCTGCAGCTTGCCGCCGTGTTTGGCACTATAGGTCAGCCGATTGGGACGGGATGCGTTCTTTTTTTACATCCTACCTTTGGGCGCGGGTTTGCTTCTCGCCGGAAGATCCCAGCGTTGTTGCCGTTTCTGTTGCTGATGTGGTACTTCAGGGTATGGAACTTTTTATTCCATCCTCTGTGGTACCCATCGGAGGCAGATCCAAGCCATGGTTTGGTCGCTCCTGTAAAATAGCATCACGCTATAAGCAGGAGTGCTACCGGGCCTGGGCTGACGCATCAACGTCTCAGGATGTAAACATCAGCGCACTTAAAAAGAAGTATAATTCCGCCTCCAGGTCCTTCAAAAGCTTTATTGCCAAGGCAAGGTCTGAGCACATTGGCAGAATTGGCGAGAAGCTAGTTCGCCTTCCTTCGGGAATTCCTTCGTGCATTCTGGTCTCTCGCCAAGGCTGTCCAAGGGAACTTCTGTCAGCCATCTCTTCCATCTCTGCACAGAGAGGACGACTCACTGGCCCATGCCGCAAAGGAGAAAGCCGATCTTTTAAGCTCTCTCTTTGCGTCCAACTCGACTCTAGATGACGGGGGGAACACACTGCCGACCATCCCGCCGTGTGAGTGCTCCATGCCGGATGTGCGATTTACACAGCGCTTGGTTCCTAAAGCACTCTTATGCCTGGACGTCAGCAAGTCGAGTGGGCCTGATGGAGTCCCCCCAATTGTGCTGAAGACGTGTGTTCCGGAGTTGGCACCGGTTTTAAAGCGTCTTTTCCGGTACGCCTACTCCCAAGGCGTAGTCCCGAATTCTTTGAAGACAGCTTTGGTTCACCCGATCCCTAAAAAAGGCGACCGCTCAGACCCGTCCAACTACAGGCTTATCGCCATAACCTCCTTGTTTTCCAAAATAATGGAATCCATTATAAACTGCCAGCTCATGAGGTACCTTGAGGATCACCAGCTGATTAGTGACCGCCAGTACGGTTTTCGTCAGGGTCGATCAACTGGTGATCTTCTGGTCTACCTAACTCATAGATGGGCGGAGGCAGTAGTGTCCAAGGCCTTCGATCGGTTCTGGCACAAAGCGCTTCTTTCGAAGCTTCCTTCCTATGGGCTTACCGAGAAATTATGCAAATGAATCACCAGTTTCCTTGCTGATCGGAGAATCAAGGCCGTAGTAGACGGTGTATGCTCTGATTTCAAGCCTATCAACGCTGCTGTTCCATAAGGCTGCGTGCTATCACCAACGCTGTTTCTCCTGCATATCAATGATATATTGCAAACTAGTAACATTCATTGCTATGCAGACGACAGCACTGGTGATGCATTATATACCGGCCGTGCCAATATTTCTGGGGAAAACGTCGCCGACTACCGAGGCAAACTTGTGTCTGAAGTCGAGTCTTTGCTGAACAAAGTCTCGGGGCGACTAAATTTAGTCCAGCTCAATCGCGTTTGCGCGTTTACCGCTAAAAAGAACCCCTTTGTCGTATCTCCTCTCTCGTTTCAAGGCACTCCCCTTGCTGCCTCAGTTAGCATCGGAATCCTCGGCGTCGACATATCGAATAATGTGCAGTTTCGTGGTCACTTGGAAGGGAAGACCAAATTGGCCTCTATAAAGCTTGGCGTGCTCAGCAGAGCGAGACAGTATTTCATGCCGGTACATCGCTTGCAACTTTACAAAGTGCAAATCCGGCCTCACATGGAATACTGTTCTCATCTCTGGGCCGGAGCACTCCAGTGCCAGCTCCTTCCACTTGACCGCATCCAACGCAGAGCGGTTCGAATCGTCGCTGACCGAGTTCTTTCTGATCAGCTCGATACACTGGCAGTGCGTGATATGTTGCATCTCTTTGCGTATTTTATCGCATTTACCACGGGGAGTGCTCCGAGGAATCGTTCGGACTAATTCCAGCCGCTCAAATTCACTATCGCACATCGCGACAAACTCGCGATACCATCCATACCACCTGGATGATTGGCGGTCCACCACTGTGCGATTTAGAAGATGTTTTCTTCCTCGCACAACTTCCTTGTGGAATCTTTTACCACCAGCGATTTTTCCGGACCGATACGTCCCTGACCTTCAAGAAAAGAGCCTACTCCTTTTTAAAAGGCCGGCAACGCATCTGCAATTCCCCTGGTGTTGCGGTTGTTCATGGGCGGCGGTAGTCACTTACCATCAGGAGAGCCGCATGATCGTTTGCCCCCTCTCCTATAAAAAAAATAATACTCCTAGGAGCTAAGCTAGCCAAACAATTCAAATCAAATATACACTTTTCTTGCCTTTTGTTCGGCGAATAGCTGAAGACTATTCGGCGGCATTCATACCTGAAGACGATTTCAGTTTTACAAAATTCTTTGCTTTTATAGACAATAGTGATAGTCTTTCATGTCCCATAGAAGTCCTTGGAATTTTTGCTTACACACGTTCGGGGCCCCTGTAGCCCGGGGGCCCCGTATCATTGATACGGCTGATACGGCGGTAGCTACGCCCCTGGTCGTACACTAACAATTGTTTGCCACTTGCCTTGGAAAAAATTCGGTAGAAACGACCTCGCAGTAGGATCCTCCTTCACCACGACAACGCCTCGACGCACACCGCCAAGCAAACAATCGACTACATGGCAATGTTAGACGTGGAATTACTGGATTACCCGCTCTATAGCCCCGACCTCGTACCTGGCGATTTTTATTTATTTCCGAAAATAAAAGAAAAACTTCGAGGTACACATTTTATGGACGCCGAGGAATCAGTGGCTGTGTTTCAAAATGCCGTCGAAGAGACCCCTAAGGACGAGTGGCCTAAGTGCTTTTCTCAGTGGTTCCATCGGATGCAGTGATAATACATCGCTGCATCATCGATGTAAATGGACACTATTTTGAAAAGATATAATAAAACTAATTGTTGATAAAACTGATTTAACTTGCTAGTTTGTTGAGTTTTTGATTTTCAAGAACTTTCAGTGTCACCCTCTTATTATATATCGCTGTCTATATATTATAAGAATTTTCAGTTTTTCTATTGTCAATTTTCTATTTCTTGTAGAGATAATTTTAGTAATATAAGAAATTACCTGGGCAATTTTCCCAAAAGCATCTCTATTGAGTAAAGAATATGCAGAAGTCAAACTAGCAACTGCATTCGCCTCCAGTTCTTTTAAACCAGAGCAAAACAAATCAATTCCAATTTCCAAACCAGTCCCAAAATCACACTCGTCCATGGCTATACTGGCATAAGTTATCACTGGCTGTATTTGTGACAGGATGTCGTCCTTTTCATTTTTTGATGTAGACGACTCTAGTTTTGCAAATAGTTTTTTCAGATTAGCTGTAATTAAAGGAAACTGCATATTATGTAATATTATTGCTGCAAAAATCAATAGATTTAACCAAGGTTAAATCCGTGACATCTTTATTGGTGACTGTTATAATAAATCCGCTTTTACTTTTTTTTTATTAGTTACCAAATCCAGATATAATAATTTAGTTCAGCAGCTTAATTATTTAAATATAAGTTTGGCCCTTAAAAGCAAAGTATACCCACTGGAATATTCCATATTTGCCAGACGTAAATAATTTCTTTTACGTACTTTTAAAGATATAAATTGAACTGGGACCACACAACGATGTGATATTGAAATTGAAACTTTCGAAATTGATAAAATTTAAACTTTATAGGTAGTGTTAGAGCAAAAGTAAGCCCAAGTTAACTGAGGCATAAGTACATCAAACACTTCAGTAGTAGTGTGAGCATGGCTGCTACAAATCAATCAAATTATTAGATATACACGGGCGGGTCAATAAGTTCGTGGAATGGAAGGGTTAGAGATGGGAGGGGGGAATTTTTTTAAACTGTCACTACTTGGTAACTCGATACAACTATAAATACCAAATTTCAGCCAGATTGGTTCTGTTTACGGGGACTCTTGCCTTGGAAAAACGATGATTAATAACTTAATTGAAGACCATTAGCACTTGGGCTGACCGATTGAGGTAACTTCCTCAGACATTGTCAAAAAAGTTGAAAAACTTGTTCTTGAAGGTGCTCATAGGAAGAAAAAACAGATTGCAAAAATGACGGGAGTGTCATCTACGATCGTTTTAAACATTCTCCATGACCGTCAAGACATGTGACATGACATGACATAGTGAAAGATGGGTGCCAAGAATGCTGACATCACAGAAATAGCAGCGGGTCGGGAATTCGCGCGAGTTTTTGGACCTGTGTAGTGAGTACAGGGACGAAATTAGGAACCGAATTGTAACTGGGGATGAAACTTGGGTTCATCACTATGAACGTGAGTCCAAAGAGGAGTCCATGCAGTGGCATAAAAAAGGCGCAGCACCGCCTAGAAGATCGAGGTGTCACAATCGGCTGAAAAGATTATGGCTTCAGTTTATATGGGGATTTAGAGGGAATTTTATTGATTAATTATAAGATAAAGGTGCCAATATCATGAAACAGTATTAAGCAATGCTACTAGAAAAATTTAAGGATGCTATTAAAGAACAAAAAGAGCAAAGTGGGCTCGAGGTGTGCTCCTTTAAGCTCACTCTTGTTTCTTACCATTGCTTTCAACTAATGGTCTGTATCCCAACTCGGTTTTCTTGTTGTAAGGTACCACAATTCCTGCACCATGTAATGTTTTAGCTACTGTCTGGGACACCCTCTTTTTTATATTGTATTCATCTAAAGAAAATTTGTGCTCATTCGCCCATTTTTTCACTTTATCCATTAATTTTTGACAAGCCATTGACATAAATGGTGATGTTTTCTTTTCATTTTGTAAATAGCAACTGAAATGGGAAAAATAATAAAAACAATGATTATTTTTGGTTCATATTAATAGATTTTTAATATGAGGTTATTATAGGTACATTAGGTACTTGCAATACGACAACAGGAGTTGCCGACATCTGGCAATGGATTGTTACAGATTGAACACTAAGATATGAGATATGAGACTTTGCATCTTAAAAAAAAATTCAAAATACAAAACAAATTTCAAAAACTATGGTTTACTAAACTTACTAAACAGCACCAAATATATTATCTGCAACAGGATGTATGTGACAATCTTTAGAACAATCGTTGGTTGCCATAAACTCAGGTTTCTTGTTAGGGTCATCTCTGAAATAACCTATGTGAAATCCGCTTTCTCCTTTTTTTTTCAAAACAGCCTAGAAAGAAGGATTTCAAATCTTTATAACATAGTAATAAAAATTTCATAGTAGTGGGTTCCATTCATTCTCTCACTATCTACAACCTATGTATTTGAGGATTACAAGTTTATGGTACACAGACTTATTAAATGGAGACTTTATTCACATCACATCACGTCACCACAGATCACTGTGGACAACTGGTTTCGTTACCTTATATGCACAAAAAAACAGGTAATTGAAAAAATGTGTTTGTTCCTATTAATGTAAAACGGCTGGAGAGATTTAGAAGTAATATGGTAAAAACCCTTCCATTGCTTTCTTATAACAACAATGCAGACTATTTATATAGAGAATTATTAACCCTAAAACATTCTCCAGAAACAGTCGCAAGGCATTTAATGAGTGGGCGACAGTAGGAATTCATAAAAGTAGACAAAGCTTATATGACTTTTATGAAAGATCATCTTTCCAATGCTTTTAAAGAATATGTAAAAAAATATTCTAAAATGTTTAAAAGAATTTGCTCCTCAGCTAAATCATTACATATTAGTAACAAAATTAAGACGGCTAAGCATAAAATTACAATGACGTGGAGTATAATTAACACCGAAACCGGTAAAGAGAAACAGCGTAACTCAAACTATAAATTAAAAATTAATAATGAATTGACTAAATCAAATCAAGAAGTTGCAGCAGTGTTTGAGAAATATTTCACTGACGTTCCTATCTTGACAACAGATTCATTGAATACTTCTCCAACTGTCGCCGAATCATTACTTAAACAGAATGTTAATACCTGTTTAAAAGAATTTAGATTTGAAAAAGTATTACCGCATAATATTGTAAAATACTTCAAAACATTCCATGCGTGCGTGCGTGCGTGTGTGTGTGTGTGTGCGCGCGTGTGTGTGTGTGTGTGTGTGTGTGTGTGTGTGTGTGTGCGTGTGTGTGTGTGTGCGTGCGTGTGTGTGTGCGTGCGTGTGTGTGTATGTGTGTGTGTATGTGGTTGTGGGTGTGTGTAGTAAAGTAAAACCTATTTTATCTGGTATATTATTTAAATCTGGTAGTACATTGGACCCCGCTAATTATAGACCTATTTCTGTACTACCAACTCTCAGTAAAATTTTTGAAAAAATAATTTTGGATCAATTGTTAATTTTTTTTTAATACAAATAAATTACTTCATAAAAACCAATTTGGTTTTACAAGGGGTCGCTCGACGTCTGACACCGGTGTTGAGCTTATGAAATATATTTTTGGTGCCTGGGAGAATTCACAGGATGCCTTAGGTATTTTCTGTGACCTTTCCAAGGCTTTCAATTGTGTTCATCATGAGACATTAATCAGGAAACTACAACATTGCGGTGTGAAAAATTTGGTGCTTAGACTATTACTTCACATTTAAGTAACAGAACTGAAAAAGTAGTGATCAATGAATAGTGGTAAAGGTTCCTCGGGATCGGTAGTATCAATAGGCGTTCCTCAGGGCTCATGTGTACTATACTTTAATTTTTTTTTCATTGTACATAACCCATGCATTAATAATAGCTGTATTCAATATAAGTTCTATTCCTAATTTTTATCCTACTTAAACGTTTTACATAATGGCGAGGAATATGCGGCCATTTGAACGCTCATATGAACTGCGCTTTTTGTTTTGTTGTAGGCATTCTTGGTTTGCGAATTACTTTATGCTTTTTAGTTATTTTAGAAAATCCTTTAGAATATTTCGTGGATAACATCAGCACGTCTCTTTTGTCCTTCCACTTCAATATGCATATTCCTCACTCATTCTCCATAGCTATTACTTCGCCAGGTTTTAATTTGGAGTCTACTGCTTTCGGCATACCTCTTCTATTTTTCCTCAAAGTACCCACCAAATGAGTGTCCTTATCAAGTAGTTCATTGGCAAGCTCCAAGCTTGTACACCAATTGTCTGTTGCAAGTGTGTGACCACAGCCCAGTATGTGCTCACAAAGAGACATTACCATTCTAATATATTCAATCTCTGATTCTTCATTTTCACTCCAATCATTTTTTCAAGCAATTTCATCAAAAATACTAGGTTCTAGTAAGTCAATGTCGCGCAAATCATCTAATGAAATATCTATAAAATTTACGTCTAAATCCTTACTATTCTCCATGTTGAATCACAAAATCAAGTCCAAGCGTAAACAGACGACTGCAGGGTGCGGGTGACCGGAGAAGTGCCCGGCCCGGTGCCCCATAACGGAAATTCACATTTTCACTATCAAGGCGCCACATAGGTCTCCGATGGCCTCATGTGGTTTTTTCGAAATAATTATGAAACGCAGCTTCTGATTGAACCCTAAATTAGATATATTTTAAAATATTGATATTGCCCACGTATTTTCATCAAAAAGTTTTGTACTGATTTTTCTCATTTACACTACGGCAGTCTATGTGTTAAACAAAAACTGTACAAAAAGGTTTATTATAATAATCAAGGAATATATGAATGAAAATAACCTCTGGGAATAAGGTGATCGCCACCATGCTGGTTCTATGAAAATTCATTTTAAATTGTATAAACAAAATTATTGTTAAATGAAATTATGTTTAAAAAAAAGTTTCTTGCTGGTTCTTCCCAGGACAGAGGTATTTTCCGAACCAGTGGTAAATAAAAAAAGACTTTCAATAAGTATCATGTAATAATCAATATTGAATAAAAATCATTCTATTCTATTCTATTCTATTCATCAATTTTTGGGAAAATGCATTTTACAAAAACTATTGAATTTAATTTAATGAACATTTCATTAGAATTTAATGATGCAATTATCACAGTTTTGTGGTGGCATAAGATAATCACAATAAGATAAAGCAACTATGGAGATTGCCAGAAAAATATAATGGCTCCCTATAGACGTAAAACACCCTGATCGAAGAACAGCCATCAGTGTAAAAGGTGAAAGATGTCTACTACTGTGATCATCAATTCACCTGGCAATTAAGGCAATAAGCATAGCCAAATGATTTACAACAGTAGTCGAATGGCAGATACAAACACACAACATAAAATTTTATAGGCATATATAAGCATCATTATGCCACATATAAAAATGTTTGACCGGTAACAGAAAGAAGCATTAGACACTAAAAGCTATATTTAAATATGAAAAGGGTACACAGTCCACCTGATGGTAAATGGTTACTGTGGCCCATAGACATCTATATCTATCTTCAATTTTGAATTAAAATACAGATGCGTTGTCACCCATGAGGACTAAGACAGAATGCCTCATTTCTAGTAAAAAGGGTCTCTGGTTCTCTACACTCACCACACGAAACAGCAGGGTTAAGCTACTGTGTTTGTTCATACTGTGATTACCAATTTACTTACTAACCATGTCAGCCATGGCAAATCATCCTTACAGGCAATAGTGAACTAAGTATGTCCTGATGATGATGTTATAATTAAACCAGACCTTTTTAAAAATAAAATATGTTTTATAATTGATACTTAGCAACAATTTGATAATACTGGTACTTCACAAATATAATAAATTTTAAAATCTGCTTCCAATAATATTTAAAATGAAATGACATCAATTTACCTGAAATTCAGGAGGATCATAAAAAAATCTCCAGTGGATTAGATAAAAGTCTTTGTTGTCCAACATTGGAAGCCTTCCCAAAAGTAAGTCATATGGACCAATCAACTGTAAATTTACACTAGCCAAAGTCTGTTCTACTGATGGTTCTTCACTTATGCACTTGTAAAATTGAAAGAAATCTGGAGGCATCTCAACTAAGAATAATTCTTTAAACAGTTTATTGTCTTCAGTTTTATCATAAAATAGGCAATTTTCATCTAATGTCACTAAACTACTATTTTTCTTCTCTTCTTCTTTTTCTGAGTCATCATTTTTCTTTTCTTGTTTATTTACTGAAAAGTCTTGACTAGGGCTAGGCACCAACTTTTTTGTTGGATCTTTATCAGAGTGTTTTTTAGTTATGGTGTAAGGTTGCACACCTTTATTTTTATGTTTAATATTTTTAATTTTCTTTTGATACCCTTGTGGTGGATGTTTATAATTTTTGTGATGCTCCGGGTTTTTCTGATAACATTTTGCACCATATTTGCAAGTTGTTCTAGGATCATTTACGAAATTTAACCATTCTTCAGACATTATAAAATAGAATTTTTAAACAAATTTATATTCAAAATAATATTTTAGTATTTTACGCTCCTGGATGCAGGTAGCAGGTACAAATCTACAAAATAAATAAATAAATAAAAATAAATGCAATCACTGTCACTCTATACTCTATGGTACTCTGGTGGCACTTGAGGGGTAAGTTCTGATACACATAGAAGTTAGTGTTTAATAAAAGTTCATTAGTTTCAAAAGTACCTACCTATTATATTAATAAACAAAAAAATGCCTCAGTGGTTTGCTCTTTAATTTTTTGCACATTTTTAAATTTTCTACTTTTATGAATATCTGTGGTTTGGTTTATTTATTTTTAATCTTATTAATATAAAATATAGCTAATACCACAGAAAGAAACATTAACCCACGGAAGTATAGTTTGTACGAAGTACATGTATTTCCATGCATTAACCTTTACATTTCCCGAACAAATTAACTTCCTAGCTATGATATCTGTCAAATATTATACCTCACTTTTAAGTGGCGCTGCCTTGCTGGCAGAAAAAGTCGTGGATGTCATTCAGGATAGAGTGATCCGCGGTAGTTCGACAAACATTTTGCAAGGCGGTGTCGGTTTATCAAATTTGTGGGACTATAGAGTACTGCTACAGTTCCCTGCCCGGCTAGCATGGGCGGGGGACAAAAATTTTATCCCCCGATTATACCCACTGACAAGTGATTTTGTTATGTCAAACGGGGAGAAGTATATCCCCGTTTGACATAATGAGTAGACATAATATCCCCCGTCCGTAGCATGGAGCCAAATGAAAGATAAAAAAATATGCTTTTTTGACATTTGAAAGGGACAATTTTATCCTAGTTCATTGGACGTAAGTTGAAGTTTATATTCATACAAAATCATCTATCTAAGTCTAAGTCTATTTCCCAATTTATCTACTGTGGATATTATATCCACCGATGTGCCCATGGTCTAAGGTTTTTTTTTTGCGCCCGAAGTAATTGGAAAAGGGCTACCCTTTATGTAGGGAGGCGGAAATGCATTACGCATACCACGACAGCCGGTCTATCGTGGTTATGAGGGACTCACTGCCTACCGGGGTAACCTAAGTGATACCCTCTAAAACCGCCTTTGGGGACTGGCAACCAGCTGTTTAAAGCTTCTTATGCCGTATCAGAAGCGACCGTCTTTTGGGAAAAGAGGGCGCAGACCATGGTTTAAGGGTGGATAAAACTAAGCGAGGGGATAAACATTTTCTCCTTTCCCCGGGGATAAAAGAGCCTTCGCTAGAGTAAAACCATTTTACCGTTTACTCTTGATCTGGACAGTATTTTATAGTCGTACCTACACGGCCAATCTTGATATAGGACCGTCCTCGGGCGTGTATCTTCATGAATTCCTGTAACAAACAATATTAAGCACCACTTCTCTCGTACGTCTATCCTGACATGAATAGGTTTACTGTATTTGGACATTCACTCACACATACGCAAGGTGATTACGTTTGACCACATGCAAACTAACTAGCTAAGGCGACCTTTTGACCAGCTATCATCTCATATGACAACATGGACCGGACAACTGGCTCATTCAACTAAACATATACAGACACACAGTTCTTTATACAGCTTGCACGGCACTTAACAGCACATACCCTCTTGTAAATATACTAACATCCTCAATCATACACTCGAAAGCGTACGTCCCTTCGACCACGCATGGACCGGAGAGCACCTTTCTCTCAAGCCATCACATACAGCTTTAAACTTGTTTAAACTAGTATGTCCTTACGACCGCTCGGGTCTGGCCCGGACAATACTGTTATCTCTACTCTGTTCAAACAACCTGACCGGACCAGATAGATGCGTCCCTTCGACCAGTATAACTTCACAATTCATAAGCCTGGTCCTTTCCTGGACGAATGTGTCCTTTATGCCAGCCGCGCGCGGCTTGGCCCGGTACGACATTGCCCCTTCGACCAGCTTCACCCAAATCCAACCCTCAACATTAATCATTCATAAGCTTAGACCGGACGATTGTGTCCTTTCAACAAGCTGCGCACGGCATGGCCCGGTACGACATTGTCCATTCGACCAGCTCACACAAAGCCAACCCTCAACATCAAACACCAATTCTGTCGAACACACAATATTCAGAGCCTTACCTTGAGTTCTTACCGAGCTTAAGTTTACTAAAATGGCATGTCCCTTAAACTACGGCCAACTAGCCGCGATACGAAAGATCATTTACCTTAAATACGACTGTGGAGTTGACAATCTATTATCTATCTCTTTCCATCTTGTGTATTTGTCGTAATGTCTCGTTTTCCCGGCAAAAACATGTGAGGGTCTAGACGGGTTCGCCAACATTCGGAACGCGCTCGTGGTGATACAAGTTTTTTTGTTAATTTTTGTTGTTTATTTAATTATTGTTATTTTGTTGTGTTGATAATTGTTTTTTATTAAGAGTGGTTAATAATGGAGCCACAACCAAGTACGTCCAGAGATAAATAATACTTCTGCGAAAAAGAAACGTCCAAAGTTAGGTATGTATAGGAATAGTATATATATGAATGCTGTTTAGTAGTTTTAATTAAAACTTCTTGGTTCGGAGTGTACTTTAAAGTTATCTTAAAGTTATTTAAAAAACAGCAACTGTAATAATAAAAATTTGAAAAAGTAAAGTCATTATTAAGTGACGGTATGGCGAAAGTCACGCCTGATCGGTGGAGGAAATGTGTGGAGCATGTTCAAAAAGAAGAAGATAAGTTATTCAAACTTGATTTTATTGTAGATGACGTGACGGAAAAATTTATTATACGTGTTACAGACTCTGATTCTGACTCTACAGACTCAGAAGAATCGGCGTCTGACTGAATAAACAATAATTTCTTCAAAAAAAAATATTTTTATCCTCATTTCCATAAACATAACATAACATATCATCAGTCCTGTATCCCTAAGGGGTATACAGAGATATTAACACCCACATTTTGATTGATATATTTAAGTCGCTATGTAACATGGGGCAAGCCTGTTACCATACACCGGGCACACAGTTGTTAGGCAAGCGATATTCAGAAACATCACATATGGTAGCGGGGGCCCTGATCGGAACAAACTTGTGTCTAAAGTAAAGTCTTTTGTGAACAAAGTCTCGGATTGCGGGCGACTAAATCCAGTCCAGTTTAATCCTCAAAAGACACAAGTTTGCGCGTTTACCGCGAAAAGAACCCCTTTGTCGTATCTCCTCAGTTTCAAGGCACTCCCCTTGTTGCCTCAGCCAGTATCAGAATCCTCGGCGTCGACATATCGAGTGACATGCAGTTTCATGGTCACTTGGAAGAGAAGGCCAAATTGGCCTCTAAAAGGCCTCTGAGTAGGCTTGTCGAGCCCTTGGATGTGTGTTAGTGAACTGCGGCTAGAGGAGAGTTCTCTCTCTATATGGCTGCAGCAGAGGTGGTGTCGCAAGGGAAGAGGATTGTTGGTATGGTAATGCGCCACTCGACTATCCTCCGCGACTTTGGCGGGACTGTACGACTTGGTGCTTCAGAGTACTCGTTTTTTCTTTGCTCCATGGCCTCCACATATCGGACTCGGGAATTCGGTGAGGAAAGTCCTCAACTATGGAAGGGTCCTACATGGTGGGGCCGCGGATGTGCTTGAAAGCGTTTCCGTGGTCCTGTCAATGTGTGGTGAAGGTGGAACATTATGATGCACCTACTAAAACCCTATGGGATTTTAGTACGTGCAAGTTCGACATAATCCGTTCTTGTGCCGCAATGCAGGTATACGTAGGCATTTTCACATTGAAACCCAGAACCAAATCGGTTATGTAGTTACAAATAAAAACGTTGATATATCAACGCACTGTCGGTTCTTGTTTTCTATGAAGTATAAAGCTTGCGTCTAAGGCCTAGGTATTAATAGATACATTTATTTATTGTATGGCATTATATTAATATGATACATAAATAGAATGGAGGTTACGGGTAGGCCTGGGCATAGAATTCTTATCGATATATTTTTCACACTGTCTTATCTCTATTATTAGTTCCGTGGACGTTCACTTCTGCTATCAGCGCCAAAATGGCGAAAATCAAATCGCTTCATTATGTCACGGTGGTCCATCTATAATATAAAAATGAATTGCTGAATGGGTTGCTAAGCGCAAATCTTGAGAGCAACTGAACCGATTTCGTTAATTATTTTTTTATATCATATCATATAACAGTCGCAAATCATTTAAAGAAGTAATCATTTAAGAGGCGACAGTAGGAATTTATAAAAGTAGGCGAAGGTTATACGAGCTTTATGATGAAAGATCATATTATAATAGTAGTGTTATATTTAGAGATTATGGAAAAACATCTTCTAAAATATTTAAAAAAGTGTGCTCCGCTGCTAAGGCTTTACATTTAAGCAACAAAATTAAAACTGCATCCGAAAGAAATTAAAATGACCTGGAGAATAATAAATAGTGAAACGGGCAAGGTCAAACCGCGCAACTCAGATTTTCAATTGAATATTAACAATAATTTAACGCGAACTGATCAAGAAGTTGCTATGGCTTTTAAGAAACATTTTACTGATGTTCCTTTTTTGACAACAAAATCATTAAATTCTTCTCCTACTGTCGCCGAATCATTGCTCAAACAAAATGTAAAAACTTGTTCAAATACTGTTAAATTCCATAGAGTACTGCCAAAAGATATCGTTAAATATTTTAAAACTATTGATGTTAAGAAAACGGCAGACTTATGGGGGATTTCCGTTAAAGTTATTTTATCTATAATAGATATATTAGCATCTTATCTAGCCACTATATTTAATATAAGCGTCGAATCTGGTGTGTTTCCTGATTTAATGAAACATAGTAAAGTCATACCTATATTTAAATCTGGTAGTACATTAGACCCCGCCAATTTTAGACCAATTTCTGTACTACCAACATTAAGTAAAATTTTTGAAAAAATTATTTTAGATCAGATGTTAAGTTTCTTTAATATTAATAAATT